CCATTTTTATATAAGGGATTTAAACATGCATGGATTTTGACATCTGTGGGGGACAAAGAATATTCTGCAGATGCTAAAGGACAGCTGTTCTGCCTGTGGAAAAGTTCAAGTGCCATGATACCTATGACAGTGCTTTGCTCATTAAGAGACAGTACATTCATGTTTTAAAACAATATTCCCTTTTAGACTATGTCTTGTTTCCTCGTATTAAATGTTTTCTATTCTCATAGTGCAGAGCTGGCCAGAATGCTAGGATGCTTTTCAATCTTTAGTTGCAAGAAGTGGCAGGATTTACAGAATCACATTGTTTCTGGTAAAATACCTGAAGTTTTAAGGGACACCCTGAGTTGTTTTACTTACTACGTATGGATTCTGAGCAGCCATGGTGTCTTACGGGATTGTGCTGGGGCTTGTTAGGTTTGACAGGTGATTAATAGTAACAGCAGCAACAACAGCAGCAGCAGTGATGATGATAATGGAGGCTGGCATCCTCTGAGCAATTATGAAGCGCCAGGCCCCATGCTAATCAATTTTGTGCCTGCATCATTTAATCATAATAACGACTTTGTCAGATAATGTGAAGTTTCTACACAATCTGTCATATAATAAGTCATCAATAGATGCTTCAAATGATTTTCTCTCTCTGGAGCTCATGGTCCTGTGTGGCTGAACAATACACATCCTCCCACCCCTCCTCAGTAGGATCTCTGACCCCGGATGTCCACTTGTTGTGTATCCCTGCATATGACATTAACTTCCAAGCCTCTCTATCTGTCCAAATCTCTTAAAACTCAAAGTCCTACCAAGTTCTATCTCATTCGAAATATGTTTCGTCTTCCCATGCTCCAAATCTTTCCCTTCTGTTTTTTTGCATTTAGTTCACATTATAATTTAAACTCAGTACTACCATGGGTCTGTGTATTTAATTTATTTTTCAGTCTCCTCAAAGTCCAATAAAATGCTGTCTACAGGGTAGGCACTTCAAACATTGTGAAAAAGGGAAGGATGAGGAAAGGGAGGGAATGTGAACATTAGTGGAGACAGGAGAGAGCACAATTAGAGGTGATAGCTACAGATAAAAGAAATCAATAAACTGAAAGACTGTTGGTGATCAGCCATCGTGATTATTCATTATATACCGTTGCCATGAAGGCGACAAGGAGTGTCTGACTAAAGAAGCACTGCTGAAGTAAACAAGAAGCAAGCTTGGGTCCTGTGCCTCCATAGCAGAGGATGACAGCGTCCAGCGATTCTCTCTGCCACCTGAGTGTCTGCAGAGCATGGCAGGTAGCTGCAAAGCACAAGAAGCCCTGAGACCACAGGCACCTCCACAGGTGCTCACGTCTCAGGTGGCGAATGTCACAGTCTCCCAGGAATCCCCTGGGATCTCACATGTCAGTAGTTAACTGTGTCCCGCTCACCATCACACAAGCCCCCGTGGATACGACTTTAGAAGCCACCCTTCCATATGCTAAAGAGAAGTACACCAGGATGGCCTTGAAGTAAGTTGTCTTGGAGAGAATTTGTAACGCTCTGAAACGCCCTCTTCCCCGGGCTCACGTCCCAATTCCCTAGTGGCCCTCTGCCCGGCCTGCCCTTCACTTCTCATCCAGCGCTCCGTTGTGTTGGTTCCAGGTTTGTCACACTGTCAAGTTAGCAAGGACGGCCCCCAGACTTTGCTCTTTTGGTGCCGTGTGCTCCTGCGGTGTGTGCGCTAAAAACTGCAGCCCCTCTCTGCCAGCCCACCTCCAGCTTTGCCACACGAGCCAAAACTTCTTGCCCAGATGGTGCAGTTTTACTTGAAATGCTTATGGGTTGTTGTAAAGTAGTATGGAGCTTAGAAAAATTAGAAAAAAATAGAAAAATAGAAATTAGAAAATAATTTTATCTCATACCATAGTAAGAAAACTTACTTGCTTTTTTTTTTAACCAATGAACATAAAATGAATGAATGCATTGCATGACATTTTGCATTGCATGATGCATTGCATAAACCAGACCATCTCTGAGGCGGGTGCAGGTCCTGCTTTAGGTTCACATGATCATGGGATCTGTTCTAATGCTGTACATAAAAGACAATCAAAAAAGTATTCAGTGAACTCATGGTTTAGTTCTTACTTGTAGTTATACCTTTAAGTTTTCCTCTTCCGTGGTTGTAGGTTTACAAGTACGTATTGTCAGGACCCTGAAAGGGTGCCCTAACGAGGCACCTCTTTCAGATCCCACCCCCCACAGGTTCCCCTTTGCTGATGCAACGCAAATCGTCTAATTTAGCTGGGATTGCTTCCTTTAGCTGTATGAAGAGAAAGACATAAATTTCAAGAGTCAACTAGCAAGACAGTTGTGAGAATCAACTATGATACAAGAAAGTAAAAAACTGGTCTTTGTAAGTTATAAAGTGCTGGAGAGAGAAATGTAACAGTGCAGGAACTGGGGTCAAACTCCTGGGCTGTCCCCTTTATATCACTGAGAATTTTTAAGGAACCCCTGTGTTTCTTAGGTGCCTCAGCTGCAAAGTAAGGATACTGACATTGGCATGTGGAGTTACCGTGAGTCCAGAATGAGATGAAGTCTGTGGAATGCACATAGACTGCCGGCACAGGGTGCTTTCTGAAATAAGTGGTTGTTACGTTTACTGTACAGGCTCAGATCTCTAGTTCTGAGACCTGATGACAGGATATGAATTCTCTGCAAGTTCAAGTCTTACAAAGTTTTACACATTTATGGTTTGTAAATATTTTGAAGAGCTAGAGTATGTTATCATTTAACGTTTTATTTTACTTAAAGATATTTTATGGCAATTTATGTGTCATTCCATTCATGTTCCTCTAAAGTCAAATTCCAGGCTTCATTTGTACTCTGATATTTTATACTCAGGCTGAATTAGGTAAAAACAACCTTAAACATTACCTAGAAACTGCATCATCAATGGTTGTGTGTGTGTACCCACTAACAGGTGGGTTCTTTCTACATAACAGAGGAGGAGCAGTCATGGAACATGAAATAAACTAGAAATAAATTAGATGTATTCTCTGGGTCAGATGCACTTCACTAGTTATCTCTGGAACTTTATGAGATAAACATTATATTTTTCATTTTATAGTAGGGAAGCTGAGTCTAGGAGTAGTTAGGGATCCCTCTAAAGTCTGTTTCTTGGAGGGAAAAATAAGCTCTGGAACCAAGGTCTACTTTATAAAGCAAGGAATGCCACTCTGACTTCATAAGGAAGGGGAATATCAGAGTCACAACATTGAAGAAAAGGTGCCAGAGGGGCTGCCTGCTGAAATCCTTGCCAGTATCAGGGATTCTGGGGGTACAAAGTTGAAAGAATAGAATGTAGGTTTGTAAGATGTATTTTTTCAAACATAAAATCACACTTTTAAGAAGACAGTCTTTCAGTAAGCACATTTCAGTCCTTTTCACTGGAAACACCTGACTTTTTCTCAGTAACTGCACTTCCTTAGTTATTTATGCTTTTAGAAAGTCTTTGCTATAAATCCTTGGCATTTTAAACCACTTTCTAAAACTTATCGGTCATTTACCAGTACTTGAATGAGAAAAGGAAAGCAAAAACATATTTTTAAACACATATGTCACTCTCCAGACTAAATAAACTATTTCAGTAACTGAGCACTAAAATGGAACCGAGAGGTTGGCTCTTGTACCAGTCCTTACAGTGCTTTTCCATCTCTCTGTGAGCACGTCTCTAACTAGGAGAGAGGAACGGGCGGGGAGACTCCACGGGGAAGAAGGGCATTGAGCCCTGAAGGTGAGGTGAGACCTTGCGTCCGATGGGCTGAGTCAGGCATCCATTGCTTCTGTCTCATGGACAGCCGGCTGGGTTTTATTGTCCTCATTTAGCAGGAACTAAAGCTCAGGAAATTCACACTCAGGGACGTTTGACTGCATATTAGACCATAGTGACTCTGGGGAAACCAGGGCTGTTCTATCACTGAACGTTAAAAGATGTTGCTCATGTGGTAATGTATATATTAGACGGGGCATGGATGAATTAATTGTGCTAAGGTGTATGAACCTGAGATGTATAGGCAGTAATCAACATGGATTTCCCTTCTTGGCCTCTGAAAACCTGATGGATTTGTTCTGCTCTATGAAGTTCTGAGGAAGCATTCTCTAAGAAAAATAACCCTTTAATTCAGTTTTTGGTGAAAATGGAATTGCTCTAAACCTCATGTTATAATATAAATAATAATTTGGACCCAAAAGCAATTTTTTGGTATATTATGAAAATTACTGTTCCCTCTACTGAAAGGAGAGATAAATTATGTTTTTTAAAGTTCTCTCAAGGTTGGTCAAGAATAAGAGAATTATTTTGCATCTACTGTAGTGCTGAGATTACCTGTATAAATGAAGAACAGCCTGTTTTATTCATATAATACAATTGAAATGACAAATTAGTGCCATCCTGGCAAACAAAAATCAACGAACCTATTGTGTCTTAGACATTTCCTATTTAAAAGTTGAAAACATTTTGTATTCTCTAAAGATAGCATAATTACAAGGATTAGGATAATTACAAGGATTTTTCCAAATAACCAGTAGGCGAAAATATTTTATCTTTGTTTTATGATGTGTAAAAGAAAAATACTTTTAGAAGGCTTCAACCAAGTAACTCTGGATAGGACTAAAATGAATTATCAGCCACAAAATAAAGATTTCTACTACATACAATCTGTTGAAAAAAACTGTATGTATGTTCATCTTTTCATCTATCTATGCTTTTTATTATCTTTTTAATTTATATTTCTCAAGCAAATCATTAAAGTGAAAATTCAATAAAGTCAGAGATCTTTGTCCATTTTTCCTACTACCCTAATGTCTAGAACAGTCCTTGTACATATTACACCCTTATGTTAATGTAAAACTAAGTGAATGAAAAAGCAAAATTAATAGTCCAGAGGCTGTCGCAAACCCAGTTACCTCATGGATTTGAATTGAAAAACAAAAAGAAATACTACTCCTTCTTGTCTTTCAGATACACAAAAATGAAGACGGCAACCAACATTTATATATTTAACCTGGCTTTGGCAGATGCTTTAGTTACTACAACCATGCCCTTCCAGAGCACTGTCTATCTGATGAATTCCTGGCCTTTCGGGGATGTGCTGTGCAAGATAGTCATTTCCATTGATTACTACAACATGTTCACCAGCATATTCACCTTGACCATGATGAGTGTGGACCGCTACATTGCCGTGTGCCACCCTGTGAAGGCTTTGGACTTCCGTACACCCTTGAAGGCAAAGATCATCAATATCTGTATCTGGCTCCTGTCATCGTCTGTCGGCATTTCTGCCATAGTCCTTGGAGGCACCAAGGTCAGGGAAGGTAAGAGCAACCGTTTTCATCCCATTTATAGAAACGTAACTTTTAGTTATATAAACTGTTGATTTAGGCGTGAGTAGGACATGTCATCGCAATAGAAAAAAGAACAACAAACCCAGTGGAAATACAATCCCTAAATCCATGGAAGGTGAGAAATAAAACAATTTTGTCTTCCTTTCCACCTCTAAATACAGAATAGGGAAATGACATTATCAGAATACACATCCCCAGACGGTCTCATGTTCTGCTTCTCAGAACATGGGGAGGATCAAATAAGGAGCCCCAGACATGTGGACTTTGAAAATAGGACTCAGCAATTTTAGTTCACACCTTCTGTTTCCTAAAGCTGAACAATCACTTTGAACTTTATCAGTGCTGTTTAATGCTCCAGCAGGTGTTTAAGTGCTCCAGGTCATTAGGGAGGTTTGTGATATCTGTGAGTGGAGATAACTGAATATGTGTAGCAAGAAGTTTCCAGGTCAGAGCAAAAGGACAGGTTCTAAAATCATACTACATGTGCATACTGCATGCATAGCGTCTCTTTCTTTGCCTTTAGGCAGTTTGAGAGCAGTGTTGAGTTTGCAGGAAGGTGGGTGGAAAGTAGTATTGCAGTTGTCCCGGACCCTACACATGCACAACTTCCCCACTACCAGCATCACCCGCGAGAGTGGTAGTGTCCATTGTATGACAGTTGCTGAGCATATATTGGGACATTTCACGTGATGTGATCGCCCAAGGTTCACAACTTACCTCAGAACTCATTCTTCTTGTATAATCTATGGATTTGGACACATACATGACTTTTATCCACTGTTTCTAAATGAAACAGGAATTTTTCCTCTACAGCTGTAACAGGAATTTCTAGCACAGACACAGCGAGTGATAAGCTATGATAGTGGGCAGATTTTAAGAAATGCCTGATTTTCTCCATCAGAGAAGTATTTTACAGCGTGACTAATTACACACGGGATTTTGTTTGTTCAAACCTTCAGCAAATGGAAATGAATGATAAGAAGCTCCTCCGCGGCTGAGGTGTTGGTACACCACAGTTGCAATTCAGGAGCGGACGCTACCTGTACACTACGAGGGTGAGAATGACAGGCGAAGTAGTGAAAGAAGATAGATGGTTTTCCCAGGGCAAGTAAAGAACCGATTTTTGTATTTCATGTTACTCTTGTAGACTGAACCACTGTGTTCCTTCTGATCTTCGTCAGAAAATAACATCTTAAGAGAAATGGATTTCAATTAGCCTTTTGAAAGAGGAAATGAAGACAGATGTGGCTCCTCCGGGAGACTGCTGTAGATGCATATGGGCGGATGTGATGGAGCAGACCTACCAATGTCAGCCAGAGAGCGATTTGCACAGCACAAAAGGAAAAAAATGGAAGAAAATTAGTACTTTAGGAGGGGTCTGTTCTTCCCCCTTCTTCATTTTCTGAAATAGATTTTATTGATGTGATGAAAGGTCTTTGTGATGGCCTAGTGAATTCGTTGTGGAGTGTTGTCCCGCACTGCATGTTAGGAATCTTGGATGGCCAGGAGGAGCATTTCAGATCATCTCTGCACACTGGAGCCAGGCAGCTGACTGACATTGGTAGTTTCCTAGCCTTGTGTTTATAAAGAATTCTCCCTGAAAGGACTCAGGGACCAGTTGAATCAGGATACATATACCTTCAGAACACAGATTCTAAAAAAACAAAAAACAAACAGAACACAGATTCTAAAAACAAACTGGCAGCCAGAGATATAGCTCAATGGCACAAGCACCTACCTGTGCCAGTGCAAGGTCCTGAGTTCGATTCCTGGTACCGGAAAAAAAAAAAAGAAACAAACTGGCCAGGGTTGGATCCTGAACTCACATCTGCAGACAGTGCCATTGGGCAGACATTACGTAGAACGTGGGCTTCTCACCTGCAATGCAGGGGAATAGTACTGCCCGTCTCCTCAGATATTTTCCAGATCTGCTGAATTAAGGTGGGTAGAGCAGTGCCTGGTTTGTAAGCACTAGGTAAACATTAGAATAGTCCTCTGACAGAGTGATCTTCACAGGTCCTGCCTTGTTGCTTAGCTTTCAATGTTTATCAAATACTCATTTAATAGTGAAGGCTCCATTTTACGGCAACATTTTTGCTTTAGGAATGTAGTATGTTGAATCTGATATTTTACACATTATATATATATATATATATATATATATATATATATATATGTATTATTTCCTTGGGGAATAGTGTCTGCCTAGTACCATTATTATAGTAGCTAAGAATTATTGTAATATGTACAAGCAGGACCCAAGGTATTCTTAATGAAAAAGAATACACATAAGCAAATCTTGAGTTGGGCTATTAGGTCTAACTTGGTCAGCACGGGACTCATGCACTGTTGGATGTGCCAGTGGAAGCCGTGATTCCTTGGTGTTAATATAAAAGGAAAAGAAAGGCTGCTTTTTGGAATTTTCTGATCCATAATTGTATGTATTTGTAGCATTCAGTGTGATGTTTCAATGCATGTATATTATGGAGTAATCAAAGAGCATAATTGGGATGTCCATTGGAGATTTAGCATTTCTTAATGGTAAGAACATTGAAAATCCACTTCTCTAGCTATTTTGAAACATGCAATGCATTGTTGTCAACTGTAGTTACCCTATTGTGCAACAGAGAACCAGAAATCCTTCCTCCCATCTAATTAGCTTTCTATCTATTCACCAATTTTTTCCCGCACACCCTCTCCAGAGTCTTCCCCAGCCTCTGGTGTTCTACTCTCAGCATCTATGAGATCACCTTTTCCAGGCCCCACGTGGGGGGGAGATCGTGCAGTATTTGAAGAAAGACTGCCTTTTTGAACTGTGGCGATTGGAAAGATAATTCAAGCCAAGGATGCTCACTTTTTCCAGAAATAGAATGTTGAATAAAACTGGTGATTGGGGACTGGGAATTCTTGCTGATTATTTCTTCTTTCTTGATACAAATTCAGGTTCATTGACATTTTCTTGAGAATATTTATAACTTCGCTATTGGATATTTATTTCCTGCAGTCTTATAAAACTAGCTGTCATTGCTTATTTCACCTATTCATCAAATGTTTATTGAGCTCCTATTACTTGCAACACAGTTTTCTTGAGAGGAAACTGTTCTCTGGAGTTAAAAGATGCATCCAAATTGCACACTGGCCATTGTTCTGTCTTTGGTAGTTTGGCAGGTGTCTTCTCCATAATAACGCCTGTCAGTAGCACGTATTCTCAGGAGCTTAATGTCCACATAATACCTGTTTGTTCAATTATTTAACAATTTATTTTCTTTATACACCGTATATTCCAGGCACCACCCTATTGCCGGGGATTGAATGTTGAAGATATAGCCTGGGACCTTATTTTCAGGTTGTTTACATTCTGGATGGAGAGGAAAATGTTAGGGAAGGCAGCATGTGATTATAGACTGAAACAGATTCTGTGTAGGGAATAAACAGGGTGATTGCAATATGTACTAGTGTATAAATTGGAAGGGAGAGGATGAAAAAGACTGGCTCCTATTTAAATGCCTCTGAGGTGATGTTCAGGCTAAAGACAACCGAAAGAAAGAGACAAAGCAGAAACAAAAAAGTTAAGCAGAATAAAACCAATATGTACATGTTTGTCACTTTTAAGAAAACCACATTTATCAGCTTTAATAGACAAATAAAATCTAGAATGAGATACTTATATTAACTCAGATTTTTCTTTTTTTTTTTTTTTGTCTTTTTGAGATAAGGTCTCACTATGCAGTTCAGGCTGGTCTTGAGCTCACTTTGTAGCCCAGATTGGCCTCAAACTTGCAACGAGCTTCCTGCCTCAGCCTCCCGAGTGTTGAGACTACAGGTGTGCACCACCACGCCTGGCTAGATTTTTCTAATATAATACCCATCAAAATTATTAATAAATATATTCCTCTCTTTGATAATGGTGGTTCTTTTAAAAAAGCAATAATTTTGTATAAACACTAAAGGAGAAACTCAAATGAATCCTTGTTAATTTTGAATAGTTTTCATAGTAATAATACACTGGACAATGACATTTTAGAGAATCAAAATTACAAGTTACTTCAGGAGATTTCATTTGCTACTCGAAGATTTAATGTGGTGTTTGGTAAAAAGAGTGTTTCTATTGTGTCGAAAATGACTATATCCTTTATATTTTAAAGTATGTTTAATTGAATTCTAATAAGATACATTTTATTTTATTAAAGGACATTTAAGATCATAAAATGTTTTAGTAAGCATTATTACTATAGCTTTTTCACTATTTGAAAAGAAATATATTCTTAATCATTAAGTTTACTGGTACAATTTATATATGCATAATGATCACATTCATTATAGAAAATTTCTACCTATAAATATCTTAGTTCTTCCCATTCCTCTCCCCTCTCTTCAACCCCTCTTCCCCTATTTATTCACAAAGCATTGTTTCCATTTTATCCTTTTTTTTCTCATTTTTTCTTTTCCCTTCCACCCACCCTCCCCCTGTGAATGGATAACAAAAGATTTGTTTTTTTCTAATACAGTGGAGTACTACTCAGCCATAAAGATGGATAACTTTGAGACATTTCTAGGTAAATGGATGCCCCCTGAGACCATACTCCTAAGTGAAATAAATAGGACACATACATGTAAATATTGCATTGCCTCTCTGGTGTGAGAAACTGAAAATGTAAATAAGAAATATATCTTGAACTATTTTTGAAGCAGATTTTTCTTACATCAGAAGAAAATATCACCTTTACAAAGATAATATTCAGACTGTTGCCCATGACCAGCTCATCTGTGAGGAAAGGCGAGCCACAGAGGAAGGAGGGGTACCTGCTCTGTGCTCACTGACTGTCCAAAGGCAGGAGGACAAAGTGCTTGGAGAACAGGAGCCCTTTTTGGTCTTTTTCTTCTCTAAGAGTTTTACTCATATTTCATTACTGCCCTTAATCATAACGGGTATGATTGTGTTCATTAAACTGCAATACTTGGCCATATTTAGACAAATTTCATTATCAGTTTTAATCAACTCACATAAACCTGTTAATATTTTTCAGTTAAGTTAGTATTGGTTAAATTCAACACTTAGACGTAAAATATTTAGTCATTTGTTACGAAGATGTTACCTTTAATTGCCCAAGCCCTGGGGCTTGGAGGACTGTTAATACATAGAAATGCAAACCAGTGCCCGTACTACAAGTTAACCATTTAGTTCTTTCAAAAGCCATCAAGATTGAATCAGCCTTCAGGGCTAGGTAAGGCATGATGCCAGTTAATCTTACTTTTCTACAGCATAGTATATGTTATCAGTAAGTGGCAGCTTCCTTGTGGCATGGTCTTATGCACCGCGGTAGGATGGTTAGTGTGATAGGACACCACTACTAATTTGGTGAGCTCCTTTAGGTAATGTCATCTCAATGAGACCTTTGCAATCAAAAGTATTCAAAATCAAAATAAAACACTTCGCAAGGTAGGTGCGATGGTGCACACCTGTAATCACCACTACTCAGGAGGCTGAGGCAGGAGGATTACGAGTTGCAGCTCAGCCTGGGCGGTTTAGAAAGATTGTCACAACATTCTGCAGTCTCAAGTGTAACACTAATAGGCTTCCTTTGTGGTTTTGGTTGCTTCTTCAGATGTGGATATCATCGAGTGCTCCTTGCAGTTCCCGGATGATGACTACTCCTGGTGGGACCTCTTCATGAAGATCTGTGTCTTTGTCTTTGCCTTTGTGATCCCAGTCCTCATCATCATCATCTGTTACACCCTGATGATCCTGCGCCTGAAGAGTGTTCGGCTCCTCTCCGGCTCCCGAGAGAAAGACCGCAACCTCCGCAGGATCACCAGGCTGGTCCTGGTGGTGGTGGCAGTCTTCATCATCTGCTGGACCCCGATTCACATTTTTATCCTTGTGGAGGCCCTGGGAAGCACTTCCCACAGCACAGCCGCTCTCTCCAGCTACTACTTCTGCATCGCCTTGGGCTACACCAACAGCAGCCTGAACCCCATCCTCTACGCCTTCCTGGATGAAAACTTCAAGCGGTGCTTTAGGGACTTCTGCTTCCCCATTAAGATGAGGATGGAGAGGCAGAGCACGAGCCGGGTCAGAAACACAGTCCAGGATCCCGCTTACGTGAGGGATGGGGACGGGGTGAATAAGCCAGTATGACTAGCCGTGGAGATGTCTTCGTACAGCTCTACAGGAAGAGACGAGCTCAACGATCGAGGTTTAACTCAGATTACTACTGCAGTCTGAAACGGAAAGACAGTTTCATTACATTTAGAAATCTCATCCGCTGAAGTCATCAGATGCAGGCTGCATTCACAATCCGGGTCAGTGGAAACAGCGAGGCGAGAGAGATGGAGGACCAACAGCCACCATGCAAGGCTGCCGCACAGTCTCGTGATGAACAAAGGACTTGGCCTTTTTCTTCCATTCCCTAGATTTAGCCCCCAGCTGTTGCAGCCTCCTTATGCACCTGGCTTCAAAGCTCCGTTTAAGAAAGCAAGGAAAAGAGAAAAAAGCAAAGTTTGGCTTCAGGGCTTCGTGGATATCCACTCCAGGTGTCCACCACTGACAGCATTAAGCTCAGAAAGGAGAAACATTTCCAGGGTTCGCGCCTATGTCCATCTGCTAGATGGAGATGTGTTTCACCTGGCTGTACAGTGAGAATTCCTGCCTAAGGAGGACTTGGACACAGTCTTGCAGCATCTGATATTTATGGGTGATAGAACATTATCTTGACATTTGTAAACTTAAAGTTGCAAAAGGTAGATTCTAACATAGCCTAATATTTTGAAAACTACATCTTTTGGGTTTTTTTAAGCATGCTTTTCAGCTAAATCTTCTGAAAGAGCATGTACCAAATATCAAGAAGCATAAAACGGCTTAACTATCACTGGAAGTGTATATAATTTCATCTGTCCATAATAGTCTATGTGCAGATAAGAAATGGACTTCCTTTCTAGCCTGGAAATTTCCAAAGGGAATGCTAATGATATCCCCTGAGTTGTTAGGAATTGACAGAATTGATGCTAAGACATCTTGCTGTAAGGTCAGCCATCTCTAGGACAGTCTCCACATGATTACTTTCAGACTCTTTAATCGTTCAGCAGTACTTATAATTCAGTGTTAACAACCCCCAAACCTTTAACTCACTCTCAGATTGGAGTCTTAGCAGAAGCTAATTGATTGGTGGCATCTCTTCTTCATCTCTACTACCATTTCTCTCTGTTCATAGAGAGAAGGTATTCTGATTGCATACATCTCAAAATATTATTTTGTGGCTTCAGCAGCAAGTAGGATGGTTACTAAATCTGTGGTGAGTAAGGACATTATGCCAGTTGGGTGCCTGGACATAACTTGCGTCATTGCTGTGAGGGATGTAACTGCTGAGGATAATGCCATGCACATTTAGGGTAATTTTGCTCCAACTGCCAGATGATTTATAAATTCCCTCTTCATTCCCCTAAAACTCAAAGTATGGCTTTTTCCATAATTTTCCTGACAAGAAGAAAGGGATAATGTGGAAATAATACCCATCTTTAAGCCTCTATTTTATGAGAGTATCATCCTTTGGAATTTGACAGGAGCATCTAATGTGGAGACCCACATAATTTCAGGCATCACTGTATCTGAGTTCTGTGCTTTCTCTGTAGTGTGTGTTACCTCTCATTCTGGAAATGAAGCCTTGTACTCAAGGTTTTACATATGGCTTCAGAATTTTACCGTGATCGTGTTTGTCTCCCTTCAAAGTTTGTATGGCACCTAACACAGACGGTGTAAGGCCACATAGTAGGGATTTTTCTTAATGAAAAACATAGTGCTCTTTTGAGTATTTCTTAAATTTCAGTGAAATTCCCAGATATGCTCAACTTCTTGTCACTAAGTGTAGATAGGAATGGTTTAAATATTGGTTGACATTAACATGTAATCTTGCCTGTCATGCAAGAGGGATATCTACATAGAAAGTAGTTCTAAGGACACACCCTATTGAAAGAAGAAATTGAAAGACCTCTTTAAGAAATAGCAAACCACAATGGAATAGCGCTAGCATCATGGAATGAAATTGTATATAGTAGACCATTCACTTTAAATTAGCGTTCCGCATGCTGTTCCAACATTAAGTGCCATTATCGGGATCTGAACCTTTGCCTGAGTGTCCTGCGTATAGAAAGCTGTAGCCCAAGGAGAGAAACGGTTCGCCACGTTGCTCATGTGGTGTTTTCCAAGCTTCTGAGTTAACTGTGAACGCTGACTCCCTCCCAACTGCAGGGAGAGAGAGAATGTGAATGAATGCCTTTTTAAGACACTTCTTTAAAAGGATAATAAAGTCAGTCACTTATGGTAGGAAGAACCATTTATACAAATGTATTTCTTTGTCAAAAGTATGTGCAAGGCGGAGAGGGAGGGAGGAAGAAAGTGAGAGAGAGACGGTAAGAGAGCGGCAGAGAGACAGAGAGAACCAGGACCTGTGAGTGTCTGTACAGCGCTGTGAAGCAGTGACGCCATCGCCATCCCTTCGTCATGCCCAGCCCCACTGCCTCGCAGATTTGCCCAGCTCCTGATGTTCCTGTTCTTCTCAAAAGGAGGACACTGCCCCTTGAAGAGCTGTGAAGAAGAGCTGTGCACCTCTGACCTTTAGATCGACTCAGTATGAATTCTACCTCCTGTTCTGGTAGCAACTTCGGGAAGACAGGACCTTGTAGAGGGTCAGAGACAGTGTAGAGAAGTGAACCAGTCGTGCAGGAGGCAGTGGTGGGAATGAAACCCGCAGCTCCACCTGGAAGGAGTGAAGCGGAAGCACTCAGTACCGTTATCTACGTGTGAAGCTTACTTTACGTGAAGAATTTACTGCAAAACTCCAGGCTTAGTACTGAAAAGAAGCGAAGTTTGAAAACACTGGAAAGAAAGCAAAGAATCTTCACATATATTTTAGGAAAATGATTTCTTCTTGTGATATATTACTGAGAAATAAACATTCCTCAACTAGTATCAGAATTTATAAGTGTTTCATCTAGTGGAGGTACCTAAGATGAATGAGTGAAATAAAAGAATACATTAGCTGACTTTAGATCAGAATGTTTTTAAGGAAAAAACTGTGGCAAGGTCATACATCCGTTCAATGGGATTTATTCTCTAAGCAAGAATCCTTCGGGTGTTTCAGCATGAATATGAAAACCCATCCACACAGAGCCTAACCCTGCTTGCCCTAAGGTAATTTTCTCCAAATGAAAAGTACACTAGTATTCTCATGTATTCTTTACTATAATGTATATTATTTATGTCTTGTACTTTTAGAAGATAATTATACATTGTGTATATCATTGTGTGCCTTGCAATAAAACTAAAATTCTACCTGCTAAAAGTTGCAAAAGTCAATTACTTGGTAAATAATTTATTTCTCAATGATTTTAATAATGCTATATGTCACCAAGCACAATGTTAACTGTTTCTCAGAACTATAACTTACTTTAGCTTTCCAAACAGGGAAATGATTAATGGGTAATTAATGGAATGGAACAAAGGATGTAGTGCTTTAAACTAGAATCTTAAATTCTCAGACCTGTGAAATCACCTAGGAAAATTCACCTGTTTTCACAGTAACATTCTTAAGATTCCAGAATCAATGTTAAACTCTGCCCTGTAAATGAAAATCCATTTTTCCCTATGAAAAATATTAGAATTCCAAAATCAAACTGCCCTACTGTCTTAGTGACATTTTTATAGCTGGGATAAAATACACAATATCTGTAAGTTAAAGGAAGAAATACTTATTTTAACTCACAACTTGTAGAGGCTTAAATCTATAATCAGCTGGCTACAAGGCAGGAAGGCATGGCAGAGGAGTACAGCGGAGGAAAAAGAGCTCATGCTAAGGCAGGCAGGAAGCAGCAGCAGTGAGCCTTCCTTTCCCTTTTTATTCCATTCAGGCTACAAGCCTGTTGGTTGGTGCCACTCACACCTGAAGCGTGTCTTCTGTCTTTAGTAAATTTATTCAGCTACACCAGAACTATGTTAATCCAGTCAGTAGGCTGATCCAGTTATCTACTCATGATCCGGTATCACACGACCCTGACCCAGTCACTACTAAAAGCCGTACTGGAGAGTGCATGAAGCTGTGGGGAACATTTTAGATATAAACCATAACACCTGCCAGTGAAAGTTTAAAGAAATGAAACTCAACTTACAAATACATTCGTTCAATGGCCAAATATAACTACACCACCGTCTTAGTTATTTTCTCTCACTGCTGAGAGAAAATATCCGACACTCAAGATTAAGGAAGGAAAGGTCTATTTAGCTCATAGTTTATGGAGGTTTCAGTCCATAATCAGCTGGCTCCAAGGCAGGGTGGCACAAGGCACAGGGGCAACAGTTGAAGGTGGCAGAAGACAGCAAAAGCAACAAGAGCAAAAAGGGGGGAGAACAAACCTCTTTTCCTCCTTTATATTGTATCTGCCAAAACCATCCCTGTTCCTTTCTTTTCCACAAGCTCAGGGTGTTTACAAAGCGAGGACCCTGGCCTCTTAGTAAGTAAGGAGTTACAGCTTAGGCTACAGCTTTCTATACAACCACTTACAGGAACTATTTCTAAACTTACAGTATTTGTTCACATAAACAAAGAGCAAATTTAAAATCAATATCTTGATAAAAGGATTTTTGTCAAAGCAAACATCTATGCAGTGAAAGGAGACACATCTTGCTAACTGGGAAACACATATTAGCAAGCCCATTCTCATTGAAAACTAAACAATTCTTATTACTATTTATCCTTGATAATTGAATTTCATGAGTGAGGTACAAATATGTGATGAGGCTTCAATTTTTACTTCTTGGTGGATTCTTTAGCTGATTTAATAAAATAAAGACAAAAAGTGAATTGGAAAAAGATTGCTAAATGGATCGACCTTGAGACCATACCTTTTTTTAAGAGGAAAAAAAAAATGACAGAATTTCAAAACAAGATCATAGGAAATTAACAATGGCTATTATATTGCATACTGTTATCTTCAAGGTAGTTGCTCAGATTACCAGATATAGGTATGCAAAATTGATCAAACAATACAAGTACTAATTGTTCCTTTCAATGAACTAATAGAAATTAGTAGTATAATTAGCTATCATGTATATATATATATATTTTGCATTTCTTCTTTTCTCCTTTGCCCCATTCCAGTTCTTTTCTTTTGAGCAGTTTTTTTTCCTCTTTTACAATATCTATTATACTTTTTGAATCTTATTTACTCTTTCAGATTCTTACACTAGGTAGACAATACAATGTTTACACATGCAGGTCTGATTTATTTCACTTATGTGTATGGCCTGTAGTTGCATCTACTTACCTATAAAAGCCTCAACTTTATCTTTGTTTATAGCTGAGTAGTATTCCATTGTATCAAAATACCACATTTTAAAAATTCATTCATCAGTTGATGGTTATTTGGGTTGTTTCCAAGATTTAGCTAGATATGCCATTTTGACCCAGTTACTTCTCTTCTGGGTATTTTTCCAGAAGAGTTGAAAACATCATACCTCAGCAATATATGTGCACCCATGTTTATAGCAGCACAATTTGTAATAGCTAAATCTTGGAGACCATATTCTTAAGTGAAATAAAGCAGACACATGTGTGTTGTAACCAGGAGAGGAACCCCGGACCCAAAATTGCGCAAAAATGAATGACACGTCTCTTTAAGAAAAAGAAGCGCTTTTTTTAGCTGGTACCCAGCGGCACAGAGTACAGATGGTCTTTGTACTGCTGCGTGCTGGGGAGAAGTAGCAAGGGGTTTATAAAGGAAAAAAAAGGGTGGGGAGGGGGAGCATGGAACGAACAATACCCCGATCCTGTATTTGCAGGATGTTATGTACATCTGGTGGTCTTGTTTTGCAGGATGTTATGAACATCTGGTGGTCTTGTTTTTGCAGGATGTTTTTGCAAGAATATTGAGTTAACGAGTTTGCTCTTGTGGTTTTGCATTGCCTGGGAACAGCAGCAGGGGATCTTTATGGGTAGAATAGGTGATTTGAGAGTAAAGGGAAATGGCGCATACAGAACAGAATGGCTGCACTTTGGTCAAGGTACAACACGTGTAAATATCACATTGTCTTACTGATATGAGAAACTGAAAGTGCAGATGAGAACCAAATTGTACAAGAGAGATGGTGAAATGGGAAGGAATTGCTCACAAGGAAAGGGGAAGTAGAGAGGTGTCTTGGTTACTTTTCTCTTATTGCAGAAACAAAATACCCAACTCCCAAAATTAAGGAAGGAAAGCTTTATTTAGCTCACAGTTTGTGAAGGTTTCACTCTATTATCAGCTGGCTCCAAGGCAGGGTGGCAGGGCAGAGGGGCAACACTTCAAGGTGGCACAAAATAGCAAAAGCAGCAAGAGCAAAAAGGAAGGAAAACAAACCTCTTTTCCTCCCTTATATTGTATGCCAGCTGTCTACCCACCCCTACACCATCTCTGCACCCTCCTGTTGCACAGGATAAATACAAAGTGAGCACCCTGGCTGCCTTCATGAGTCACACAGTTAATCTTTTAAACTTCTCAAGTTGACACAATGAACAACATCCTAGAGCAGGAAGGGCGCATCCTTCTTACCCAGGTTGAGAGCTGCTGAGTTGTTTAGTTAAGCTTCTATATTCCTCAAGTTGACACAATGTATCAACCATAACAGGAGGGGGGAGGGGAAAAGAAAAGGTGAGAAAAAGAGGACAAAATTGAAACAAAGCTTTGCAAATGAGGGGAAGAAGAGTCCAAGGAAGGAGAGGGAAGTGGGAGGGGAAAAAGACAAGTGAAGGTATATCATGTACACATACAAATTCCCTATGATGAATGTAATCAGTGTATATACCTAAACTGTACCAATAAACTCAATTAAATTTTTTTTAAAAAGGCTCAGGAAATAAGGGTATAAAGTGTTTCTCATTTAAAATGGTGGGCTATGCTATAAAGCTATATATAAGACACAGACCAAACTACAGTTCAATGCAGTTCCTTTAATGTTCTTAGTAGAATTATGGAAGGGTTAAAATCACTGATCTGCAACCAATTGACTGGCCTTGTAGGGAATCCCTCTTACCCAGCTGGAGAGAGAAACTGGGTGACTAGCTCTTTGTCAACTGAACCTCTGGTAAATAATGATTTTTATTAGGTAGGAGAGACCTTACCTACATAATGTCCTTTGCTATAAAATTGCTTTTAATAAATCTATCACCCATAGGATTATTATGGTACAAGAGGGGTATAAAGTCAGTACATTTCAAAACTTAGATGCTCTTTCCGGTGTTTGAGGTGACATATAACTTCATTAGAAACCTCAGCTATAATTTAGGGAGAGAAATTATATGCGTGGGAAGGAAGGATCAGCAAACCACCTTTGAAGTCCCAGACATCTCTCTACTTCATCCAAACTGGAGATGTTCTGTATCCCCGAACATTTCAATAAAAACTAATATTTCCGTGTCAAAAGGTACCTGAATCAGAAATTCAAATCAAAGACATATTGTTTAAGTCTGAAAGTTACTGATGAAAGTATCCATTCAGTTTTAATTTTAAAAACAATGTTGCTATTGCTAATACCAATCATTATAGAACCTTATATTTGTTGCTATATTAGGTGTTTTATATATCCTAAGTTAATGCAAGTCTAAGGGCTAGTTGTATAATATTGGAATATTGTAGATAAATTTTCCAACGTCACATAGTTAACATGATGGACAAAGCATGATTATTAAATGCAGAATGGTAGGTGCTCTTAGGCTTCACTCAACTTGGTAGAATGTAATGGATGAGATTAGGAGGGTGAAACCCGGTGTAGACTTTGGAATTAGGCCACCTGGTTTCACGTCCCAGCTCCAGTGGGTGGTTTTGGGTTTTCTTTTTTTTAATCATGTGAAAGATGTAATCATTTTTATATTAGAGCTTCCCCTGTAAAATATTGACACAGAGAATATCTATAACATACACTGTTAGGCCCATACAAATATAGTAAATACTCAATAAGTGTTAAGTTAATATAATTACCTTCAATTAACCTCAGTTAGAAAACACTAGATTGATTTTTTTGGATTTAATTCTAAAATTCTATAACGTTGGAATCTCTGTGGGCTGTTTCCTGTAGTCACCTAAGGCATCATGGACCCATGAAATCAAATAGGCTATTAGGACAGAAATCACTTCTACTGTCAGCTCCTTCCCATAACTGTGAAATAAAATTTAGACCTCACTCTGTGCTAGGGTGAAGACCTGAGTATTTAGAATGATAAGATACAGGTCTTTGCTTTCTTGCATAATGAGAAGCTTAGTCAAGATTTCCTTCTCCAAACTTAAATTATTCCTTCCTGACA